TTCTGGCTGCTCCGTTCATCACGTGCCTTTTATGTAGGATGTAGGTAAGATCTTCATCCTTAGGGGGTAAATTGATCAAATCTGACTGTGTTTTAGCTCCTAAGACTTCGAATTGACTCTTCGGCACTTCAAATTTCGTTTTCAAGCCTTCTCCTTCCCTCTTTATGATGTCGAAGTGTCCGAATTCAGCTGTGGGCATTTCAAAATGAGTTCCTCTGTACTTCATGATAGGTGGAGCACTGGGTATTTGCTTATACAAGTAATCTTCATCGCTAGATTCGGCCGGCGTGAGGTCTATAGACTTTTGATGCATCAATAACATTCTTCTGTTGTTAGAGTTGAGTCTTTGACGAGCTAGTGAGTTGGGATCAGATTTTGTCCGTTCAATAGGTTGGTGCATTGGTAGATCGTGTACTATACGAGGCTCTATCTCCATAAAACACGTCTCTGTAGGGTTTGCGTTCTTCGACTTTCTTTAATTTGTTGTCAATATTAGGGACTACTCTAAAGGCATGGTCAGGGCACACGTCCGACTCCAGACTGTCCTGAAGCGACTGTATTTTTTCTTCGTCAAAGCTGAATATGTTACTTTCCGACTCGGTGGATCGTTGTGTACTCGCTTGTTGAGATGGCCAAACCGGAGGAATATCCTCTGGCCAAATGGGTTCTGACTTGTGTCTTTCGTGGTCTACCGTGTGAGATCGGTAACTATGCGATGATTTTTGCGTTCTAGGGACAGTGTTTTGTTCGAGATTTGCTAGAAGACGATTTATTTTGATGTTTTGTTCCGTTTCGACATTTTGTAGACTTATCGAATGAACATGGGCGAAATTGCGATTGATTTCCATATTGTCGTGTGTTGGAAGTTTGTGAATACCGTAGTTTCTTTCGAAATTGATTTTTCTATCGTAAGGATGTTGGAAGACGACGTTGTCCATGAATCTAGAAGGTGCGTCGTAGTATTCGCTCTTAGATTCAACACTGGACGTTCTAGAATCCATAAATCCGTTTCTACTATCGATTTGTTCTAGGCTTTTGTTTCTACGTTCCGGTATTTTACCTTCGTGGTCTGATCGAGATTCTTGACTAGACGTGCGAGATCCAAAACTACGCTCTCTATGGGATTTCTTAAGACTTTCCCTACTAGATTTCGACGTTTTGGATTCGACACTGGAATTTCGAGAGAGTTGCTTGAATTGTTTGTAATAACTACCGTCCGATTTTCTCGGGATGATTTCCCTCGGGAAATCTCTCGGGTCTTCTGTAGTGAAGAGGTTTTCGTGTACGTCCGAACTACTCTTGCATTTATGCCGTTTCTCGTGCTCGGATTCACTATCCGATGGCAAATAATTGTTAGAATCTAAACTACAGCTTCTAGTGTTGAAGGGTTTGCGTTTTCGGTACTTATATTCGCCCGAAGTACTGTAATCGTCGTCGGATTTTTCTATAAGCTCGTAACTGTCGTGGGAGAGGTCGTCTTGCGAATCGCGAAGATCGTAATTACCTGGATCTTCGACAGATTCTTGGGAATACGAGGTGGTACCGGGATAGCTACTAGAATATACCTTTTCGTCGGCCACCATAATATCTTGGTGTATCTCTAAGCTACTATCGCGGGAACTAGCGCTATAGATCGGGTGATCATCGTAACGCGTGATCGGAGACTCTAACTTACGCTCCTCGAAGCTAATAACTGCCTTCTCGAGCGGTTTCGGGGGATGAGCTCTACGTTTAGCTTGACCGGTTTCTTCGAAGCTGAAGTCATAGAGATCTTTACAACTAGCGCTACGACGCCATACTTGGCGTTTGGGGTGAGCAGTGATTGCTTGGTAGGTATAATCAGGTGTGGTATCGAGGATCTCGTGGCCTAGATCATTTTGCGACTGCGTCTGCGAGGGAAAATTGTTAGCGAAGGTGTGACTAGAGGGCATCTGGGAAGTAATGTGGGTGCGAGTGGTACCTGTATCTGCCCTGTGAACAGCTGCGCGGACGGCGAGCGGAGAGCTGGTAATAGTGGCTTTCGTATGGATTGGGCTCGTGATCGCAGACTCCTCGGGAGAGCTCATCGTCTGATTGGGGGGCAGAGTGGAAGGCCTGGTGTCGGGGACCGAGCTCCAAGATGTAGCTGTGCCGAGGTGGCGAGAGGCTGATTTCGTCGTCGGAGAACCCGGTCGTTGGCCCACATGGGCCCCCATCGAACCCAGCGACGCCGAGAGTTTGGACACTTCCACTGTGAAATTAAGCGATTATTACACAAGGATTTCTCTATTCACTACATATCTTCCACAACTACTACCACGATCGGTACGCCAAAACCATTATATCAATGTAAATTAACCTTAGGTAAACTCTATTGATTGGCGACTTATATGTCAGAAAAAAAGTTTATGAACTTCAAGCTCTACCTCAAAACACTAAAAAATTCAGATTGCTTCATTTTATGTTATAATAATAAGTTCATCAATGACAATATCTTTATCTATTATAAATCTAAACACGAAATAATCTACACTCAGATGCAAAAAATGCAACCGAGAAAATTTTGGTCAAATTCAAAGTATTTCAATTTTTATTTTTAGCTCTATTTTGATAATTTTTTTAGCACACTGTGTATAAATTTATAAATTTTAATTTGATGTTGTCAGTTTTTTGATAAAATCTTATATTTGACTTATTGTACGGGGTTAATTAAAACGTGGTTTTATTATCCTAACTTTGAGACATCCTGTTGAATAATTCCGTTTGCGAATTTTCGTAAAAACCTTTTTTTTTCGGTTGCAACCATGTCTCCTGAGCATTGTGTTTTTTGTTTCTTAAAAAAGTGTGTAAAGAGGTAGGAAGTCAGCATTAATCACTTTTGCTACACACGGAAGATGGCTTACTGGAAGAATGTTTTACTCTTTTAAATAACTTCCTGGAAGAGAATCGAGTTAGCGAGTAACCTCAGATGTGGAAACAAACATCGACTGGGTTCAAAATCCATTCACAAAACATACCAAGCCATCGAGCTAACAATGCTAGAGTATGAGAATTTGATCGACACTAAGTGTTCATCCCTAAAACAAAATTTGAATCAGATTCTAATTTGAATGACTTTTGGATTGCACTTAAAGATGAATACCCGCAATCGTTGAGAAAGCTATCATGGTTCTACTTCTTTTTGTGACGACTTACCGATGCGAGACTGGTTTTTCAGCTCACGCTTATACCAAAAACAAGTTCAGAAATAGGCTGGATGCAGCTCCGGATCTTCGTATTCAATAGATATTAAGCCTAATTTTAATACTATTAATGTGTAAAAAAATGTAATTCTTTACATGAAATGAGTGGAAAGAATTATAGTTACTTACTTAATTGTATGTATCATCGTATAATAAATATTTTGTATTCCTTACATTATTTTTCATTCATAATTTCTTCCTTCTTCTACAGTCTTACATGAAAACTATTCAAACTACAAGGTAATCTCTTTATTTATTAAAATAGGTACCGCCAAAAAAAATATCGTCAATTAGGGTTCCAAGACAAAAAAAATTGGTAACCCCTGGGCTAAACTACAATTTTCCAGGTGACATGTACAATGGAATTTAGGACAATGGAGTAATGTTCTTTTTACGGATGAGTCGAGATACTGTCTTCACTCATCAGATGGGAGAGAACGAGTATGGCGTCGAACTGGAGAAAGATTTGCAGAGTGCGCTTTCAGTTTCCGCGTTAACCATGGAGGGGATTCGATGATGGTATGGGCACATGGGCAGGAATATACCGATAGGTGCACACTGGTATATTGAGGAAATTTTAGCGAATCACGTAGTACCCTTTTCTCAATATATCGGCGATGATTTTCTATTAATGTAAGATAATGCGCGACTCCACTCTTCAATGTATGTCACGCAATATTTAGAGGAAGTTGGTATTAATAAAATGAACTGGCCAGCCTGTCCTCTAGGTCTGAACTCAATAGAGCACGTTTGTGGCGAAGTCTCACCAGCCTTAATTAACGAACTTCGCTTGACTCTAGAAGAGGAATAGCAAAACATCCAGCAAGATGTATTCGCAACCTCATAGACAGCATGAGCCGACGTTATAGAAGGCAGTTATAGAAGCTAGGCGAGGCAATACAAAGTATTAAGTTATTTTAACTTGTTTTTCTTTGTTATTTGCGTACTTAGGTTAAGTTACATTTCAGTTGTTTTTTTTAATGTTTGATATTGTTATCATTGTTCATTAAAACCAAGATCACGTCGTTGCTTTTAATCATTATTTAAATACAGTGCTTCTGGAATGTCGATATGACATTCTTTCGATATTTGTCACCAAAGCCCCCATCGTCGTATTATAAATTAATACAAAAGATATTGATAATAATAGGAAAAGTCGTAAATTGTTGGTGGCAAAGTCATTTGAACTCCTAAAAATGAACCAATCCATATTTTCACATGAAACAAAAAACATAATACTTAGAAAACATGGTAGCAACCGAAAACAATGTTTTACGAAAATCCGCTAACGGAATTATTCCAAAGGATGTTTCAAAGTTAGGATAAAAAACCACCTTTCGATTAATCCCGTATAATAAGTCAAATACAAAATTGTATTAAAAAATTCACTATACCAAATTAAAATTTATAAATTTATACACAGTGTGCTAAAAAAATCATCCAAATAGGGCTAAAAAAAAAACATTGAAATACTTTTAATTTGACCAAAATTTTCTCCGTTGCGTTTTTTTTTTTCATCTGAGTGTATTTGGTAAAATTTTGATCAAAAATCTCACTCGACATTTATTCTGCACAAATTTGTTTCTACTGCATCTTTCCCCTTTGAAAAAAGTATTATTTGCTTGTGTGTTTAGTTTTGAGGTAGTGCATATTCATCGCTGTTTTATAGTAGCATAAAAAGTGTTAAAAATGCGCTCATATCGAGGGGTCTAAGCCAAACCACAAAGCTCAAACACAGTACCTACTAAAAATAGAAAAAAAAATGATTGGAGTACGTACCGCTCAGGTTGGTGTCAGCGAGAGGTAACAGAGGATGCGCGGAAATGCTGTTCCCGACAGTTGTCGAATGTGAATGCATGTTGGAGGCGCTTGAGTGCGCGCTAGAATGCCGAAATGATTGCGACCTGCGGGGACAACAAGAGAACGAGGAATTGAGAAAGACAATAATATCAGTATTATCATTTCTACACACTTAACAATTCATATCTCTAACGTAATTTAACTAAGTTAAGCCTTTTTGTGAATAGGTCGATTTTTTACTTTTTCCTTTTTTGTATATGGAGCACAGTAAATAGTTTTATATATGTCGTTTCTATATTCGCTACATTCATTAGATATACACAGATAACGCTCGTCCATATGTTTTGTATGTATTCTTTATACAAATCGATTCAAATTACAAAAAAAATATTACTAATGAATTGTTAAAGTAAAGAATTTATCAGCGCAGTTAGTAAAACAAAATTGTAAACTTTTGGTCCTTTGAGCCAGACTTTTTTATTTATATTAACGTGTCTCGACAACGAAGGTCATTGACACAGGTACAGTAATTCAACGTTTTTAAACATTTGAGTAATTAACAAATTAAAGTATTTCAGAGACTATAATTAACTTATTTTCGACATTATAGGTCCTAAATCTAGGTCCTAGAGGAATTTCACTCCTAAACACGGCATATAAAACCCTCTCAAACATCATTCTTAGTAGACTAATCCCTTATGCTGAAAATGTCCTAGGCGAATATCAAGCCGGGTTTGGAGCAAACAGATCAACAATAGATCAACTATTCACGCTGATACAACTTCTAGAAAAGGGATGGGAGTATAACAGACCCATGCACAATCTTTTCAAGCAAGACACAAGCCAAGTATGGAATGCCATGACAGAGTTCTCAATACCAAAGAAACTCAGTCGGATGACCAAAGTCTGTATGTATGGCGGAATATCTAAAGTACGTGTAAATAATAAACTGTCTGGCAGCTTTGAAATCAACAGTGGACCCAAACAGGGTGATGCGTTATCTCCACTACTTTTTAACCTTGTATTAGAGAAAGCCATGAGGTTGGACAAAATAAAAACAGAATTACTATGGGTTCAAGGTCCCAAGCTGTACTTGCATATGCAGATGACATAGATCTCGTGGGAGACGCCATCCTATCCACGAAAGACATCTTCAACAAGGTGGAAGGAGCAACAAGTGAAGTAGGTCTAAAGATTAACGAAGAGAAGACGAAATATATGTGTATAGATAGAACGAGACGAAGAGACAGAATAGGACAAAATGTGACGGTTAATACCTCCAATTTCGAAAGAGTACACCTTTTGTGAGTGTCTGGCAACGAGTTTACTGAAAAATAAAAGACAGAATCCAATCTGCAAACCGCTGTATATTCGCACTGGATAAGCTCATAAAATAAAAAAATCTTACCAGAAATTCAAAAGATCAAAATCTATAAATCCATCGTCAGACCTGTAATAACATACGGATGCAAAACTTGGACCATGAACAAAGCAAACGAAGAAAAGCTCAGACGCTTTGAATGAAAAATACTTGGAAAAATTTTCGGACCTCACCAGATTGCATCACGAGGGACTTGTTAAACTGGTATGGGGGGAGATTCCCACAGGCAAAAGACCACTCTGACGTCCCAGAATCCGATGGAGAGATAACATCCAAGCAGATCTCCGGAAAATGAATATTCCATTTGACCCTAGGTTAATGGACGACCGAACGAATTGGAAAAAAGTTGTACAGTCAGCCGAGACCCAGCCAGGGTTGTAGCGCTACGTGATGATGAGGTCCTAAATTTGATTATTTTTATGAGGTCCTTTACTTCTTGATCCGTCCCTGTCATAATTTTTGTTATAATATATACTTACATATGTAATTTTGTAATTCTATAAAAAACATTTTTCAAGCTAAGCCCCTTTGAAATACCCTATGTCAAATATAGCAAAATATTGAGTTTGCGTTATTTCGTATTAAACTCGGTTTTCATTTGTTTCAGGTCGACATACTGTATCGGGCGTTATGGGCACAACCAAGAGGCTAAAGATGTCTTCAAACAAAGATATTCTAATATAAAACGATGGACAAAAGCAAATAAACACCTAGATGTTTTCCTGAAAAAAAAAATCAATCGTGGTTAGAGGGAAAACTTGAGATTTCCATTGAAACAGCTTTCACTCAAGGTCGACCACCCAAGTCTTTTAGAGAATTAAGTGAGCGTAGTAAACGAAGGAAAACGGAAGAAATAAGGTCCTCCGTAGGTAATAAAGTTATTGTCCACGCTGCTGAATCTGTGTTGCAGACAACAGGACAGAGGTCCGCCTCAAAATTGCTTAACGATATTACGCACTGACCAACACGGGCCAGTAAATATAGAAAAGCCTACAGCAAAGTTTGCGACAAGGATTAGCTACGTCCATTGACGTCTCTAATAGATGCAGATGGGCAGGACATGTGATGCACAGTAACGACAATCGCCTTATAAACCATGTGCTCCGAGAAAGGCCAGATGGAAGAAGGTCTGTAGGGCGGTCTAGAAAAAGGTGGAAAGATGCAGTCAGAGAAGATGGGAGTGCGACAATGGGAATTACTGGCACAGGACCGACAAACATGGAAGGCAATAGTAAACGCGGCAAAGACTCACGAAGAGTTGTAGCGCCATTGATGATGATGATTGACGTCTCTGCAAGCACTTAAGATGTTAGTTGAAGCTGATCTATCGAGACGGCAGTATGAGATAATAAGAGCAACAAATCCAAAACATTTTCTTTGCTTTGATCTTAAACTTGATAGATTGATATTAAACTAACCTTTGATAGATGGCGCTACTTAATACCGAATTGGTTTCGGTGTGGACATTTGTCATTCATGACATGACGCCTGTCAAAATTTTAAGTTTAAAAACAATTAGTTTGGTTTTTACAGCGGTCAAAAGCAAGCAAATTTTGTGTTTTCGGAGAAATGGAAAAAGTCGAGTATCGTTCGGTGATTAAGTTCCTCCACAAAAAGAGTAAAACGAATGTGCAAATCAAAGCCAACCTGGACGAAGTTTATGGTGAGGTTACACCTTTATTAGCAACAGTCAAATTTTGGAAAGCTGAATTTGTTCGTGGTCGTGCGAGTGTTTTTAATGATAAGCGTCCTGGGAGGCCTAATAAAGTAACCACGCCGGAAATGATCAACAAAGTCCATGACATGATTATGGCAGATCATCGAATTAAGCTCCACGAGTTAATAGAGGTCCTAAACATTTCCTACGAACGCGTACACAACATCATTCACCATAATTTGGACATGAAAAAGCTATCCGCGCGATGGGTGCCGCTTTTGCTGACAATCGATCAAATGCAAAAACGTGTGACCACTTCGGAGACGCTTTTGCCGATGATACGGCGCGATCCGAAGGATTTTTTTCGCCGATTTATCACCGTTGATGAAACCTGGGTGTATTACACCGAAAACCAAAGAACAGTCGAAACAGTGGCGCAAAGTGATGACGACTGTTTTCTGGAATGCGAAGGGTATCATCCACATCGACTACTTGGAAAAAGGAAAAACAATAAATGGTGAGTAAGTAGGTACTACGCAGCTTTATTGGATCGATTCTATGCCGAATTGTGTCAAAAAGGTCCCGAAAAAAAAATTGGGCTATGAATTGGTTGAACACCCACCGTATTCCCCAGATCTTGCCGCCAGCGATTTTTTCCTGTTTCCAAACCTTAGAAAAATGACTCGGAGGACGCCGTTTCACAACAAATGATGAAGTCGTCGCTGAAACTTCGGCCTATTTTGAAGAACTAGAGTAAAAGTACTATTCGGATGGGATAAAAAAATTGGAACATCGTCTTACTACGTGTATCGAGCTAAAAGGGAACTATGTTGAGAAATAAATCGATTTAATTCTAAAAAACTTTTGTTTCTATCAAAGGCTAGTTTTATATCAATCCACCCTCGTAGATATCGAATTTTTACCGTCGATGTGACAAAAATTTTATTGAACATTGATTCTGCGCGCGTAACTGACATTCAAAATTGACGGTAGCTTCAAGCGTTATTTCTGAGAGAACGGTTCATCCTCAGCTACTCTCAAAATCGTCTCAGCTACATTTTTTATTCGAAACATTTTTGCCTACACGGTACATATTCTTGACAAATCAATTTTTTGCGTTTTTACCCCCTATGAGGGTGGTTTTAGGGGGCAGCCCGGGAGTTAAAGAGGTAAACTTTTTTGCATATTTTTTGGGGTCCCAAAATTAATATTCTTGGTTTGTTCGTATGATTTTTCAAGTAACTGTCTGACGACTGGACGATTAAGTTATCGAGCCAATTTATCAATTTGTTTGCCTTTCTTTCTCAGTATTCTGCTACACATTGGTGTTTAATGTTGCTTAGGATGTATTTTGAAAGATCTGCCGCTTGATATATTTAACCGCCGCTAATTTTTCGAAAAAAATTCTTAAATTTAGTAAAACTTCACAGTATAAAATAAATCTAGGGCTATTAAAACGTTTAAGAAATACTAACTTCCTCGATGTATGTTTAGAAAGATCTTATTTAATTCACAACTAGTATCTATCAATGCTTTTTTTTCTTACATTTAGTACAATTTTCAAAATATAAAACTAAATCCAGAGGCAATAAAACGTTTAATGTAATATTGTCGTTTATTAACGTTGTTTAGAAAAATTCATGAACTTGGTCCTACGAGCAGGATTTTTCCATTCGTTGGCCAGTTTTGCGCTATGGGGTCACCTAACGTTCTCGATATATGTTTTAAAAGATCCGTTTGAATACCCGGCAAGGTCTACCAATGTTTTTTTTTTAATTTTAGTGCAAATTTTAAAGTTTAAATTAAATTCAGGGACAATCAAAGTAATTATAATGCGGTAATAATTAAAGAAAAACTTTGTTGTAATCTGAAAATAAATCAAAGTGATACAAACGATGAAGACGAGCGTTATCTATTAAAAAAAATGTTAGATTCATCTATCATGCACTGATTTTTCTGATACAATTATATTGTGTAATAACTGTACAAGAAATTAGAAAATCAAATGTTTGATTACTACTTTTTGACACATTCGTTCTTTGACACGTTCATAAAAGTAGAGACAG